TCTCCGAACTATTGAGCGAGATAGAAATCTTACTAAATCGTTTAGTCCTAAATAAGATATCCTCATCTTGCATGTTTGATGAGGGAGACATACGTTTACGTTTGTGAAGGGGAAATGAGCAGAGAGAACCAGGGGGACTCCGCATATATGAAAGGGGTGGGGATGCTCGTCGGAAATTTTGAATGAAACCCCTAAAAGAGACCGATCCAGGCGTGGCCCAAGCTTTTTTTTTACCCCTAAAAGAGACCATGTTAAAACACAGACAATGCACATATTTTTATCTTTTTTCGCGTGCAACCCTAAACGAGACCTTCACGGCTAAACATGATGACGTTTTGCCCAGAACACCCTAAGTGAGACCAAAATCCGAAATTTACTCCCCTAAGCGAGACGACGAGCATCCCCACCCCTTTTATATGCGGAGTCCCTCCCCCAGGAGAGAGAACTGAAAAACGCTGAAAAAGGTTAGGAGAATGTACAGAAAAATCGAGCAAACCGTGGCCACGGCTTAAAACCTAACCTATCTTCATTTTCAGTTTATAATATGGTTTTAATGAGTTTATAACACTGATGAGGTTTAATTTCAAAATGCGACCGAGTTTCAGTTTGGGAATTATTTATTTTACTTGTCTACAATACAGCCGTACTTTGTGTCGTCACGCAACGCTCCTCCCACAAACAGGCTAACATTTCGAAGCGGCGCGAACATAGACGCTCTTACAAAATGAGATCCACTTTATATAAATATAATAATAACGCAAGCGCTGACTTTTGCACGTCCATGCTTCTCTTGCACTAAAGTAGCGGTATCAGTGACCTCGGCGGACTTGCTCCTATCCTTAGTTTGAAAAGCACAAATTATAGCCGCCAACAGTTTCTTGAAAAGAGAAAACTGTTTCCTTCGTTTACTTGTCCTCCGACCATACATTTCAAGTTTATTACAAAGTGCGACAGGTATTACCAAGTGCGACGATTATTACAAAGTGCGACAGAACAAACCATCTTAGCCAACCACTTTTAAATGGAACGCGGCTGCTCGTAAACGAAAACGAATTTGCTTGTGTTTTGGTTTCCCGTGCACTTATTTTTCTGGTGGTGAACAAAATACTGACCGCAAGTCCATGGACCGGACTACCCCGATGGACTATCCATATGGACAACCCCTAAAATGGACTAGCTACGCCGCTGAAGTTTAGTGATTTCCCTCTCTAGTCTCCAATCGTTTTTTTTTCTTCGTCAATTTTTCACCGGCGCTCTTCTATCTGAACGCCTGTAACAGGCTAATATTTCTTCTCTAGATCAAAAACTGTGCCATTGCAAAATTGTTTGAAAACTGTTTCGTGAAATTTAAGTAGAGGATTGCCAATCTGTTCGCTTTTTTTATGAGAGTCACCTCAATTGTGTCACTGGACTATTTTCCCGTCTTCGGCGGCTAATTTTTAATAGGCCCAGGCCGTTGAAATCGAAAATCTTATTAAAATAATTTCCAAACTCGGTCGCATTTTGAAATTTAAACCTCAGCATACAGCATTATATGTCTTATATTCATTAAAACTTTACTACAAAATGAAAATGAGGGTAGGCGAGGGTTTGAGCTGTGGCCACGGTTTGGTCGATTTTTCTCTGCATTGGCTCTTAACTTCTTCAGGTTAGTTTTTTCTCTGCTCAACGTTTAGTGAATCATTACTTAAAAGAGTTTTTTTTCCCTTCCAAACGTAAACATATTTGTCATCATCAAAAATGCAAGATGAGAATGTCCTTTTCGGACTAAGCGATTTGGGTAAGATTTTTATGTCACTCAATAGTTTGGAGAAATCGGGTTTCAGAAAATTTAAAAAAAAAAAAAACTCGTTACGCCGTTTACGCTGTTACCCGTTACGCCGTTATGGGGTTTACCAACAGTCCCCGTTATGTTCTGACGCTCGACGCTCTTTAATATGTAGTGTTTGCACTATGTTGAATTATCGCGGGAAATTATCTTGAGATCCGAATTGCTGCTTAAACCGAAGCCACACCAAGAACATTCCTCTGGCGCTGATACAATTCATTTTGTATTTCTTGTTATAGGTGAATCTTAAGACTGGAGTGCGATGTCTTTTAGTTCCTTTGTTTTGAATTATCTGAAGCTTTACCATATTAGCTGGTTTTACAGTCTTTGCGACTGTACTTCTTCTTGTTAAAGCACTCACTACACTCACTTCTTGAAATCACATTCGTCCAGAAAACGTATACACGCGTCGTTTCCCTACGGCTGCAGTTTACAAACAATTTGATTCGCGAACGTCGTGAAACATTGCGTAGGACTTCGCCCAGCTGTCAAAATTGGTAAAATTAGGGACATATGATGATTAACTATCACTCAACTCTGTTGGGAACAACGGATCAAGGAGAAGGTTTAAAAATATCTTACGAGGAATTATGATGGGTATAGGGCCTATATGGGGGATTCGTTCGCTGGACTTATCCTCTCTTGGTCTCTCAGAACAGATCGAACGGCCAATGCCAATTCCGTTTTTTTTAACACTCTCTGGCACGATTTGTCAATAATTGGCATCTCCAACTACGCATGCAGTTGTATGAAGAAACCGTTTATATGCATGCGCCATAACCTTCAGCGTACAAGATTTTGTTAAAAAGAATATCGTAGCTGATAAGCCGTTATTGTCAATCAGGATTACGAAAACGAACCTATAGGTCGTTAGTCATTCTTGTTCAAAAATATGATACTGAAGTGGGAGATGAACTAAGGGCGCTTTCCATTTGTCAGAACTGGCCGGCCGGACCATTACCGGGCCAGTTATTTTGGTAATGAAGTTGGCTTTTTTCATGGGTTTTTGCTGAAGAACCCTCTCCTTCCTGCACACTATTTAGGATTTGACTGATCTAGCTGGATAGTTTTGATTAATAGTGAAATTCTCATTACGAAGGGAAGGGTCTAGCCGGTCAGTTTTGACAAATAGAAAGCGCCGTGACATCAAAGCCAGGATTCGAGATGGGACTCGAGCCAAGACTTCCCGCCATTTTCACGTCTCGTAAGTCCCATGACCATTAAGAGGAGGGTTTTCGTGGCAATCATGGAGGAAAAGCTCGAGTTAGGGTTAGGGTTATGTTAGGATTGACGATAGAACACTCGTACAGTCAATGAGAACATATTTCTCTGGTACTCCGTTAAAACCAAAACTCTTTACGTTTCTATTAAAGTTACATTTATTTTATTTTCTATTACAGTTTGATTGTAATTATTAGTTTTGGTAATAGCATGATTTGTAATGATATTTGGCATAAATACCATGAGTGATATTTCGAAATTATTATATGTAATTTGACGAGCCGTTACAGGCGAGCGAAACTTGAGACAATTTTGAAATAGCACGAGTAGTTTTTATGCCAAACTGAATATCACATACAATTCATGCAATTATTTGTTTATACTACTACCCGCAAAAGGTTTGTAATTTTCAAATGTAGGTATTTCAGACTAAGCTGAAATACCACTGCTCTAAGCCAATAAGAGAATAAATACGAGAATATATAAGCTGGCTCGATGTTGAGATGTTTCGATAGAAAGCAAAACTTACTGTAGTCTTGCGGATTGAAGGGTGTATCTACAATACAAAGGTAGTTTTTCTTAAGGTATTTTAGGGACACGTCATCAACAGTTGATATGTCACATAATGGCCATTTTGGAGATAGGTGAGGCTGCGGGCCGGTGTTGTGACGAAGTGCACTGTAGCTTAGGACGCTATTCTATATGAAGGTAGCGTGGCCGAGAAGTTAGAGCGCTGTGAGCACTTGCAATCCGGTGGCCTCAATTTCAAGTCCCACCATAACCGCTTGCTGGATTTATGCTCGAAATCTTCAATCACGTTTTTAAATAGCCAACAGGTTTACCCTCTGCCAGTTGGTGTTTTTAACCCTTTTATGTTTATTTGAATTTTTTTGTTTCAACTGTTGTTTGCGAATTCCTAAGATAAATAAAGTTCTTCTTCTTCTTCTTCTTCTTCTTCTTCTTCTTCTTCTTCTTCTTCTTCTTCTGCTGCTGCTGCTGCTGCTGCTGCTGCTGCTGCTCCTCCTCCTCCTCCTTCTTCTTCTTCCTCCTCCTCTTCTTTATTATTACTATAATTATTTTTACTGTTATTATTTCTATTAGGATATAGCAAAGTTACTCAGGAGAGTGAGTCCATATTCGTCCCAAAAATAAATCCACAATGCATTTCATTTCCGCCACCAATGTATTTCACGCTTAGTCTGAAAATGGCAATCAGCATCGTTGACACCAACGTGCAATATCCATATTTTCACAAAACTCTCTACATATGTTATGACTATTGCCTAATGCCCTCGGCATTCTACAAATGGTATATACCCAGGGTTAATATACTCCAAATTTAACTTAAAACGAATTCATCTTGAACTTGGACCTGCTTGGCGGATAAACTCTTTAGCCTTTTCTAACGGAAGGTATAACATAACCAGTGATGACTATCTTTGAAAATTCTGATTGGTGGTTGCTGGCATCCTACCAATGCCAACAAGGTCTATGTACATTTTGATCTCTGTTATTGGAAAATCTTTTTTGACGATTATTTTCTCCTTAGCAAAGAAAAGAAACTGCATCCAATTCCAAAATCAAGCTAATTGCACGATGACAAATTATAGTACGTTAAAGTGCTTTTAATTATATTCACTGAAAAGTAGAAATTTTACCAAGAATTTATGGCTCAATTTGCATTAGGGATGGCTGTTGCTTGTGTTAAATTAACAAGTTTTGTTTGCAGAGATTTTAAATTGTAACATTTTAATATTTTGAAATTCTTGAAGTATATATTTGCCTTTCATGGTACTAGAAGCCCAGTGTAAACAACTAACTACAGCAGGTACCTTCCAAAGACCAAATCGTAAGACTCAATTTCTGTTTCTAGGTCCACCTTTTTAAACAGGAACAACTCTCTTTCAAATCCTATAACGAAATAAGCTGACTTAAGTAAACAAAGGGATGCTTATAATGTCTGTATCGCCCGTAGCTGTACGCTGCTGCAATGGGTATTTACACTTTGTGGAATCGAGACCAATGCCAATGCCTTAGCTGCTGTTGTCTGTGTTGGTGCTAGTTCTACGTTCCTGCGATCCGCAATGGCGATCTGTGGAGTGGGGGCCAGTACAACTCTTCTGGATCTTGAAAAGGAATTCCTTATTAGCTTTAGCACTCTGGTCTTGCACACAAAGGCCACGAATACGAATACTCCTTGAGTAGTTGTGAGAACTACGAACGGATATATCAGCGCCTTGTGAATGAGTTCGGCGCCGAAGCTGAAAAACCAAGTGAAGCCCATGAGTGTGACCAGGCGCAGGTATATTTTAAGGACGACCTTTTGATCTTGACGGGCAGATTTGACTCGGGTTGTTTGCTTTCTGGCACTGTTGATGGCCCATACGGTATGGGAAAACGCGCAAATGTTGTAAAGAAGAACGGAGGCTATGGGAACAGCCAAAACAATAATCTTGCCATCGCTTCTGTCAAGCCAACAAACGTCTTCATTTCCATACCCGATAAACACCACTTGGAATTGATCGAGGAAAAGGCAGACAGCTACAAAAAGCATCGGTAATCCCCATGCAAAGCAAGTGTACTTCAGAAACCTAATATTCTTGTTGCGACCATTAATTGAGTGCCCCGGAACTATAGAAATCTGACTGGAGAAGGTACGGTGAGTGTCGAAGGCTATGATGGCCATACATGCAAAGGAAACCAGGAAAAGGTAGTGGATCACTGCCGCGACTGCAGTACAAAAGGTTGGTTTATCCGTGTCCCCTGAGCCGAACAGCCACATGAACTGAGCAAGGGCAAGGGCCAAGCAGAAACTCATGAGATTTTTCCCCGGCAAAGGCCTTCGCAGCTCAGCAAAAATAAAGTGTATCACTAAAGTGAGGATGAGGGCAAGAAATGACACTGAAAAGCCAACGAAGGTAACATACCGCAGAAAACGGGATTCTGTCTTGGCAGTGATGTTAGGTCCTATAACCTGGATGGAAGAGTTGGAGTAATTTACTTTGTAGTTTGTGTTGTTAGGGCAAATCAAGACTTTTTCTCCGTTCAAATCGTATTCTCCAAGCGGGTAAACTCTTCCAGTGGTGTTGTGTAGTAAGGTTTTGTTGGCCAAAATGGTGTACTCATGAGGGTTTATTTGTTGTAGTACAAATGGACATTGAATGGTAAAATTTGATTTGCACACCAAAAGAGTACTGTATTTGTTTCCTGGGTAATCGAAAAAAAAGTGGTATACAGACCGGTTTTGCACAGTCTTGTTTTGAAAAGCCTCACCGTTCTTACGTAATAGGGACCTTTAGCATCAGGTTTTTCGTGGGAAACGGCAAACCGCAAACCGCAAAATGTCACGTGACCACGTCCTTGCGGTCACGTTTGCAGTTTGCAGTTCACGTTTGAACCTCAGGAAGGGCTTCCAGCAGTAAGTGATTTACGGCAAGGTTTTTTGCCACAAAAAATCGTACAGCCTCGCGTTTAAAGGTATGAACTAGCTTTTTGTATCCGTTTGCGATGTGTTTGTTGGATTTTTGATCTCGAATCAATGAATTATTGCTGATTTTTGGGCGATTAAAGTGATGCACTTCGACTTGATGAAAACAACATGGCGGCCATAAACAATGAACGCGTAGTTCAAGTCAATTTTGTATACCTTTCTGCCGTACTAACAATGGAAAGTATTCCGTTCCAATCCAGAGTTAATTTTTTTTTTCTATCTTGTTACTAAATTCATAACTTAACTCAGTCTCTGTCTGGTTCCTTTTTTTAACGTACCCGCGTATCACTCCGCGAATATCATTTTATTTTGCTTATTTCTTTTAGACTGGGGAGCTCAGGCTTCATAAAGCCTTCTGGTTTCTTCTGGGCTCCCTTGCAACCTTACAATTCCTATATGTATTCTTGTATTGTATTGTATTTTGGCTAAATAAAAGTGAACTGAACTGAACTGAACAAATCGAACTGAACGCCTTGCTAAAGTTTGAAATCTCGGCAACGCGAAACTGCAAACGCGTAACTGCGGTTTGCGGTTTGAGGTTTGCGGTTTACCTGATGCTAAAGGTCTCTAATAGCTTAATCTCTCCTGGAGAAAATTCCACTGTTTCTACGCAGGCTAGTTGTCTTTCAGTGACGCGAATGACCTCCCATGTTTTGTCATTAATGTTGATCTCAAAGGATTTGTTGAAATTGAGGAAAATAGACACATTGAAGTTGTCTTTGTAAGGCATATTTGTCTCATCATTTATCCTGAAAGGAGTCCCAGCATACAAACTGAAACTGACTGCTGTGAAATTACCTTCGGAAGATATTACTATTTCTTCGATTTTTGAAGGATCTAGCGCAAACATTTTGGAAATAGCGATACTAAATTGGTGCGTTGTCACAGGTTTCATTCGACCATCCAAAGGACGCATCCAGAATTTCAGGCGATACTTGTTTGCTTTTAAAGAATTTAAAACGTTGCCTGACACGCAGGCTTTCAGATGTTGGTCGTAAACCTTGTTTGGCGGACAGGTCGGGGGAGATTTCGTGACCTTCGTTTTCTTTTGGTTACTGGTTGGCGTTTTGAATTGCATGACTATTTCAAATGATTTAAAGTTGTCAAATTGAGATTTGAAAAACGGATCGCATCTTGCGTTTTTCATTGATAATCCATTGCAAAGCACACAGTGATAGTTCTTGTAAGGCTTATCATCCCAAGGTAAAAAGATAATCCCACTTGTACCCTTTAAACAACCATCTTTGTGTTCAGTTTGGTTCTCTGTGGAACATGAAGATACCATGGGTATGCAAGTTCGAATTTTAAAATGTTCTGCTGGTAAAACGACTCTTGTTGGACAGTGTTTAAGTACTCCAATGTTTGAGTGCTGTTGAAGCCTTGGGGTGGATTTATTTTGCATCGAAATTTTAGCTCCCAAAAAACAGGTAATATAGTCGTCACGTTATTGCAAATACCACAATAGATATTTCTATAATGGAGTCCTTGTGTAAGATTGAATGCCACTGGAATGCCTTCTAAGATGTTCGCCGAGGAAAATTTGCGATCCATGGCATTTGTTCCTGCCAAACATTTCGAACGCACTTCTTCGTCTTTCCAATTCGCTGCACAATTTGATATCATGAAAACATTTGCAGCCCCTACTTTCAAAGTTGATGTCTTGATGCAGGTGTAGTTTTCATTTTTTATTTCTTGAGGTACTGGACTTAATGGCTGACAATAACGTGTGTAATCAGCACAGCAGTCATGGTACTTGAGGCAAGCTTGATCGCAATGGCAGTGGACTTGAAATCTTTCTAGACTGTCCCACTGTGCTCGTTTCTCGCATTTATCTTGGCAAGAGAAAAGCTGAGCATCCGGTCCCTCACATCCTGGAACAAGATCTGGGTTTGGAGAAGTTAAAACGTTAGGCGTTGCCGTTTGATGCCATGATGCCGTTGACGTGGCCGTGGAGCCGTGCACACGAGGCCGGAGATGGAACAGATGTAACGAAAGGAATAGGACAGAAGCTGTGAAATAAATGCGAACTGTTCTCATATTTTTGTACTTATATGCCCCAACAGCATGGACTCAAATGTCAGTTCAATGCAAGATTGATAGTTAGTCTCCTTTGTGCCTACGTCAGTTATATACCCTATGCAGTTACCCACTAGTCAAACCGTTTCTTAGATAAGGGCGCACTGCATATTTTCTTTTCGAACTGAATTGGTGATATCAGACTTTTACGACCGCAAAGTGATTTCTTCGCATAGAGCCTGTTAACTAATCAACGATGTTGATCGGAAGAACTGTAGCGTGGGTTGAGATGTCTGAAAAAGAGAGAAGTAGGAAGACATATCAGTTTCATGAAGCCATTTATACATAACTAAACGCGGTGCATGAACAAACAAAACCTTTATACCTTCTCTCAATATCATAGCTGGCTGTTTATTCACAAACTAACCTCTCTGTTCAGCTTTCTCATTTATTTTATTTAATCTTCTGAAGTAATCAGCGGTTTTGAACGAGGCGTTACATTAAAGGAACACGAATGCTTTCTATATATAACCTGAGACTCAGTGCTTCTCAGATCTCCAGTTCGTTAATTCCCCTTTTTTACACGGGTAAATTCTTGAAATGGGAATTCCAAGAGATGGCGTAAGATAAAAGATTAACGTTTATTTAGGCCGTTAAGAGTCACCTTATTATTCATGTGATACACTGAATTGTACGGTGTAAAGTGAGCAAACTTCGGGTCTGTCTGTCTGAATGAAAATAACACTCCAAGAAATTTTATATAAAAATTTAGTCACAAGCACCAACGGGAACAGTGATAAAGTTTGACGTCCCACTAATCAACGTTAGCAGTTGACTTAAAAACAACATGACCTGCCGGAGAACTGAAGCTCTTGTTTTTTTCTTTTTCCCCAGGAATAATCTTGGCTGCATTTAATATTTCGAGGAGTTGGGTAAAAGTGAAATACTTTAAATTTTAAACAATCCAAGCATTAATACTGATGGGCGCTAAGTGCCGCAGTCGACCTAAAAGAGGGACCCTCAGACATTTTGTGATCTGTTCTTTAGCCTAGTTTTATTAGTTTACTTCTTTTTTTCTAGGTTCTCTGCTGCCTGTTTATTAGTGAACGAGAAACGGAACGCCTTTTTTATCAGACAAGATTTCTTTATATCGTAGAGAGGTCCAGTTTGAGACAAGTGAAGCCCAATTTCGACCACACCTGCATTTTTGTTTGAGTGTAAATGTTCATTCAGCTTAACGCACACTAAATATGTTGATAAAAAGTTCTAGTGGGGTTTATGTACTGCTCAAAAAACACAATAATATGCCTAATTGTTGTTATCATGTTCCTGTTAGGAAGTTGATTTAATTCATAAATTTGCTTCTGCTTGTTTTTTAGCCAGTAAAACATCTGGGGAAAAAGCGCTCTCAAAAAAATTTCATATCCATTTTAAGTTCTATTTTCATTCAAATATTTGGTCGCTGCGTAAGGTTAAATGCATGCTCTACCAAAATAATTATCCAAAAAAAAAGCATTACGGTATGAACGCTGTGGAAAAGGACCTTGTACAAAACAGCCAGGGATGCCATGAAAGAGTGGTAGCCTTCTTATTATCATAGTGAACAAAATTTATTTCATTCGTGAACAAAGCTTTTGAACGGAAGACTTTTGTCAAGCTTTTCTGATTTTCTCGATGCGTTATCATTCAAGAACGACAACCCACAACTGAACCCAACCAAACTTGTCATGAGAATAAAAAAAATTAAAAATAAAATGATGCCAAGCAGCATGACTATAATAACTGTGACACAGGAATTATCAGAAGCAAGAGGCTGTCGAAAGTGCTCATCTACGAAGACGAAATTCAAAAACACCATTTTGCCGGCGAGCATTACATGTGTTTTCATTGTCACATACATTACACATACAATACAATAGAAACTTGAAAGCGAAGACACTAAAAACACTGCCCTTCACTTAAAAAACCCAAGGGTCACTTATGACGGCTGACTACCTTTAAAAAATGGTGGCTGGAAGTCCAATCCAGAGTTCTCAGTTCGTCCTCTTGTTACTCAAGTTGACAGGAAAAAATAATCAGAAATTCATAAAACCTGAAGATGAAAAATATTTTAGAAATACCATACTTTTCATGACAGCCTTAAACTGAATTAAAGGCTCGCCTATATATAGTTAAAGAGGAACGGCGAATAATTGCGTTTGTCAGCTATTAAACCCACAGTGGCAATTGTTGATTCAATTTCGTTATTAAGTGATGGCAGCGTCTAATGTATTTAAGGTTAAAATGGAGAAGAATGATCAATTATTTAACAATTATTCCACGAGTGCGCGTTGGATATAAGATGGTAGATCAGCCAACGAGGCGCGTACCGCCGAGTTGGCCATAATCATCTCATATCCAACAAGCGCGAGTGGAATAATTGTTCTATTAAAAAGGCCCCCAAAATATCGAGAATTCGTCCCGACTTTATATGTAAAAACAAACGATTTTCAGCTTGAGCATGGTATAATGGCTCATATACCATGATGGCTAAGCCAATCAGAACCCTAGAATTGCATTATCCAATGATTCAGTTTTTAATAGTTTCAGTTAGTAGTTGCTCGTGTACGGTAAAATCGATTTAGGTTTGACGGTTCACAAAAGCGCCCATGGAATACTCAATTAAGTTAGAGCCAGAATTATGATCGCAAGTGAAAATGGGTTAATAGAAAAAAAACTAACTAACTAACAAACAAAAATAAAACAAATCATAAAACGTTTGAATTTTAAGGCTCGCCGATGTACAGTAAAAGAGGATTTTACGACACACAATTGTGTAACTCAACTCTAATAAAGCCACAATGGCAATTATAGTATCTGTTATTATTCTCTCTTAGTGATGCTAGCGACTAAATGGTTTAAATAGAGACGAATGACGACTTTCGCCCGGTATAGTTAGTAGCTGCCAAGTTTATAATTATTGAAAGTCACCTGTTCTTGAGCTGTCAAGTTATGGCTGCAGAACACGAAAAATTGCCCTCGGAATAGAGAGGAAGTCTTTACGTCACGTTGCCATGGTAGCAAAATTTCTGCATCCCGCAACAAACCGTGCTCCTGCAAATATCACAGAAAAAAAAGGAAGAAAGAATTGACATATATGACTTACCTGTGCATGATTGCACTCGGAAACAAAACAGTAGCCCATACTTTTCTTCTATCGTTCGTCAATTTAAATGGCTGTCTCTGTCAAATGATTGCGATCCATAAATATTGCTACCATGGTAACCTGACGTCACACTTCTGTTCTCTATATTCGATATATTCGTAAGAGCCAGTATAACGATCGTAAGTGACGTTGATAAAAAGGTTTCAAAGTAAAAACAAAAAAACACGAAACAAAACTAAATAAAAGTTATTTAGTTAAAAGCGTGCCATGTATAGGCAAAGAAGAAAGGCGCCCAATTGTGTAAGTCCACTATTAAACCCACAATTCCAGTATCTATATTTTGTTAATAATTGATGGTAGTGACTAATGTACAATGCATTTATATTAAAGTTGAAGAGGAACGACGCACAACTGTGTACGTCAACCAAAATAATGGCAATCAGTAAAGTATTTATTTTGTTGATACGTGATGGTAGCGACTAATTATTAAGTTGCTGCTTATATGTCTTTTCAGTAAATCATCCACACTTTTGATTTTAATTACTTTGCCCAGACCGAAAATTCATTGTGTCCTGAGTAGGCTTAGCTTACAACTTCCTTTTGACAATTGACAAGTAGGGTTAGCAAAGAATTCCGATCCCATTAACACGAGATATTCAATGTGAAAGGTTTATTTAGGGTGTGTTAGTCATCTCTAAAGTAGATGTATCCTTATTAAAATACATCAATGTTGTATTTTATAGAAAAATGCTTTAAGTTATATTTCCTACGCTAGAACGTGTGCACCCAAGTTACGAAAAACACTAAGAAAGCAAACGCCTTTTAGAAATGGCCAAACCATATGGAAACATATTTCCAATTTAATCTAATGCAGTAGCCAACGAAAACCGGGAAAGGGGTACATGTACAATAAAAAAATATAGAAAGTTGAATACCTTCTTTCACCAACTACTCTAACACTAAATGCAGGTTTAAATACCGAAATACACAACGTATTGTGTACCAAAAAAAGAAAGGTTTCTCCAAAATTCTGAATAAGCACAAACGTGAAAGCTATGACGACTACTAGCCCGACGTAGAAGCATAAATAGGCCAAAACTATCCCACGAGGACTTGGGTATCTCTAAGCTGGCTGTCAGATTATAATTTCTAAACATTTTTTTTCTCATGCAGGGTGCAAAGAAAATCATTCTTAAAGCTTGCCATTCGGGCAAGCTGAAGCTAGCATTTACTAGCCCAGA